AAAAATGACAACTGATTATTCAATAACCACAGGTAGTCAAGACTTTCATTTCACAACACGTTTGACACTGGAACAACAATCTAACCAACAGAAGTAGCATACAACAGACCTAAAATGAGCATCAAATGGCCACCATAGAGTTATCCCAGCTGCTTCTGATATTGCTACTTGATTTCTCTTCAGAGGTTCTCTATTCCCTTCTGGTGTCCATAAATACTCATCATGTTAATTGACATGAGGACACATTCGGGAGAATCCTTTCCATCATCAAATAAATCTATTTATATCCAAACTACTATTAAAAATGACCCCAAAATTACAGTGATTCTTGCTTGTCTCTGAAATTGTGAAGCAACAGCCTCCAAAGTCAAGTTGAAAAAAAAAGAAAAAACAATAAAGGAGACAAATGAAAATTTACCAATAATAATAAAGCTCAGGACTGCCTTTTCACTCATGTCAGAATCAGGCTTTCACATTGCTTTCAACTTTTGGAAGATTATATGACAATCAAATGTTGTTCTTAATTGCTTGGCAAGATTATGAAAGCTTCAGAGAAGGAAACAACAGAATCAGTCTTTTTCATAGACTTAAAACAATCTGTGTCTCAATCTTACATTGATTAGAAATCTGACAATATTTTATAAATATATATGTGTGCATAAGAAAGTTTACCTGTAGTACACTCTGAACACTGAGTGAAATATTCCAAGAATAAATAAGCTTTTAAGGATTCATACCACTTACAGCTGTTTGGAAGTCATTCCTAGGCATTTAGTTAATTTCTCCAAAATACTGAGGCAGTAAACACAATTTCAGAAAGGAAGAATTACATCTTTATCTGACTCAATTCCAAACCTTAACATTTGCATAACCTGAAACTGAACAAAGCATCCTAATTTCTCAAAGTCTTTATATGGCAATAGTAATTACTTGTACAGACACATACAGAACTGTTATCTCAAAAACTCTTTTCCAACCTAAGTTTTATACTGAAAGTGTTTCTCCATAACTTCAAGCCAGCATTACAGGGATCACTCAGTGTTTTTATTTTGTCTCCAACCTATCAGGCAATACAAAGTATATACCTCCCAGCATCTCTCTTCTTTATTTAAGAATGGAGTATGAATGTCACACAAAAATAGGCAATGAAAAACTGCCTTCTTTTTTTCTTAACTTGAACTCTATGATATAAAGACTATGATGCAATCTCTGTTTTCAAAGATATGGAAGAGGATAAACAGAATGTATTTCTTTACTGAAATAAACCATTTTGTGAATATGACAATGTCCAGGTAGCCAGAATAAAAAGAGAAATTATTCATAATGAAGAATACTACATACATATTCAATAATTTTGATAAATGAGAAAAATATATCCTTATCAGTTTAATAATTGAATATATCAAGACTTTTTGCTTTCTGAATATATTATACATTAGTAGATTCTACTTTAGTTCTAAAAGTGCTAGAAAATGGAATTACTATTAATTACTATCCTTAACTACTCTAAAACATATTTACTCATCCATGTAAACTCATACAGTCAATAATCATAAGTTGAGTATCTAGTACATGCTAGATCCCAGAAGCATAAATATACATATATATGACTATGCCTTCAAAAAAGAAATATAGTATATAGAAAGGCAGGCATGTAAATACATGAATTATAATGTAGACCATGAGAAAACATATAAATAATTGTCATGGATGAAAAATAATAATGCAGTAACCATTTTGCCTTAGGAGGTCAGTAAAAGCATCTAAGGAAAAGAAATTTTTGAACCGAGTCTTGTGGGAGAAACAATTCGCCAGGAAGGTAACATATGAAAACAGAGAGTTTTCCAAGTAGAAAGAATAAAACTGTGCCATTCAAAGGCCATCTGGTATGTTCATGAACATGTGTGAAAAGCTTGGCATCACCAGGGCATTGTGTCCATAGTAGGATGTGTTAATAGAAGACACTAAAGCCACAGTTTGATGCTAGTCTATAGAGATTTTTTTTCCTAAGAAAAGGAGTTTTGGACTAATTCCTCTGTGTAACAGGGTACACATTAATTTCAAAAGTGAGATAAACAATCCAAGTCATTTTTCAGGAAAACAAGTCTTGTGGGAGTTGAAAGTAAGTTTGAAAAGAGGTTGAATGTTTGAGATCATATAGGTAACTCTTCTATCTATCTACCCAAGAGAGAAAAAACAGCTGAAATCAAGAAACATATGCAGCAGAAGCAAATTTAGAAACTAATTAAAAATATGGTAAGAGAAAAGTATACGCTGATGTTACTAAAGCTAAGGTGAATCATTTGTATCCAAACTGTAGTAACTTCTAGAATAACAAATCTTAACCTTTTTGGGTTACAGATCTACTTAAGAATCCAGTGGAAACCATAGTGCTACCCTGATATGCTCACATATACAGAATTCTCAATTTGTTTTTAGGAGATCTATAGACCCCAGTTAAGAAATTCTGCTTTAGAGCCCTGGAATTCAAGGCTACAGTGAGCTATGGTTGTATCACTGAACTCTAGCCTGCATAAACCTGTCTCTAAAAAAATAAAAGAGAATTTCTGTTTTAGATGAAGTTCACTGAGGAAGGAAGTTTGTATCTTACTCAAATCTATTTCCATAGCGTCTAGCTTAAAACATGGTACAGCGTAGGCAGTTCATTGTTTTTTAGTTAGACTGAATTCTCCATTAAAAATGGAAAATTTTATTAACTATCTGCATCACTGCATCCCCTCATGAAACTACATTACGTATAAATAATTTAATATAGTTTCCTCATGCCCATTCTTGAGTATACTTAAAATCATCTTCCCTTGATCTTTTCGGTATTGTTCTAGTCATAACTATATTCATCTCTTCAAATGTTTATTTTTGTATTTATGGTACCATCACAGTATTCCTAATTAGATACTTTCTGAGAGAGGACAGTGATGAAAGTATTGAAAGTGGAAAAGGCATAAGGAGTGATGCAATGCCAAACGGAATGTCTGACTTCCTCACCCTGCTGACCTGTGTACTACACATTTTTCCCATCTTTTCCTAGTCTAACCTTTGTAAGAGGAATGTAAACAGTTTGATCACTGTACACAACTTACATAAGCTCATTGTAGAAAGGAGAGGGAGGAATGATGGGCAGTAAGATTTAACTCGCCAAAAAGAGATAATCAGAATACAAAATATGCCTGTGCTCTTGTGAAGCAGCAGCATGCATAATGTTTGTAAGCATGGACCCCAAAGACAGGCTGCTTGGTTAAACTCTGGTCTTCCCGTGAATTAGCTGATCTGAACAAGTTATTTAACCTCTCTTTGCCTCAGTTTTCTCATCTGTAAAACAGAATTAATACTTCACTGAATTACCGTGAAGGTAAAATGAATTATTATACCTTCAAGAAGTGCTAAAAACACCACTTCTATATGTCTGACATATAAGTTAGCTAAAACATTATTCTCTCTTTTTTTTTCCGAGATGGAGTCTCACTCTGTCACCAGGCTGAAGTGCAGTAGCGTGATCTCGGCTCACTGCAACCTCCGCCTCCTAGGCTCAGGTGATTCTCCTGCCTCAGCCTCCCACGTAGCCGGGCTTACAGGAACATACCACCATGTCCAGCTAATCTTTGCATTTTTAGTAGATACAGGGTTTTACCATCTTGGCCAGGCGGGTCTTGAACTCCTGACCTCAAGTGATCTACCCGCCTTGGCCTCCCAAAGTGCTGGGATTACAGGTGTGAGTCACCGTGCCCAGCCTAAAACACTATTCTTGGTGGAAAAACCTTGGCATTATCAAATGCCCAAAGAAATCTTGACCCATGAGGCTGAAATGTCGAATGGCAATATTTAAATCTAATGTGAAAAAGTATTGATCTGTTACACAGCTATCAGAAGATATCTGATTCTTCTTCTTGATTTAATTCCACATGCAGTAATTCAAAAACATGAACAAGTGGACATATTTCAGCACTAATTATATTTATGACAGGCAATAATTTCCTGGAGAAAAAAAAAAGATTTAGCAGAATCAGAGCTGTTTTTAAAGGTAGAAGAATGTAAGATAAAATATATTTTTGTTCGTATAATTCGGGTTCAAATTAACAACACGAACACCCTTAAAGTAGAAAAGGTGGAGCGGTCATAAAAACGTGACATCCACCCAAGCAGCCATGCTGAAAATGTGAGGATGCCTTTAATGGCAGGTAAGTGCCCCACAAACTTCTTAACAGTATGATTCTATGTATTTAAGTTGCTCAGAGGGACCACAATGACTTATTTGTGTTTGTGTGTGTTTAAGCTGCAGCCAGAGATGCTATGCTGCCTTCTTTCCTCTCATCCACGAAGCCCTGGTTTCCTAATCTTTTACAGTGATCTAGACCCCAGGATGAGAGGTCAGAGGATGTTCCCTGAGTTGCATATTCCAGAATAGGATGCAAAAAAAAAAAAAAAAAAATTGCTGAATTAACAAAACAACAGCGTGAGTAGGCCTGAGTTATAAATTAGTATAGTCACATTAGAATACTATAGTCTCTATGAAATATATTCTTCTGTGAAATGCCAAGTACTGTTAAGGAATATTATACAATCCAATCGACAAAACAGAAAAACACTGATTTATCATAGTGGAGATGTTCAAACTCTGTTCATTGTAACTATACCAGAAAAAAAAACTTATTAGAAAAAGTATGACATCAAACTTTCATACTGAATATTTTTCAATATCTTAAACATTATTTTTAAGGTTGTATGTTTTTCCCTCTAATTAAATTATAAGTGTCTCAAATGCAAGAATTCTTGAAAAACACAAAAGAAACAAAAAATAGCATGTCTTATGCTCCTTATTGGAACAAATTTACTTTTAAAGAATTCTAAGATGCCAGGGGTAAATCTTGTATCTGGGTTATTAAGTAGATGTTAATTATAAAGCAAAGGACTGAGGCCAAACTATTAGAGGAGTAGACTGGTCAAAAAGTGAGTGTAGGCACAATAAACCATGAGAAACCTACCATTGTATTGTGCTGAGAAGTGGGAGTCCTATGGCCACAAGTCTCTTGCGTCAGCAGAGAAACTGGTTGAAATTCCTCAGAGTGAGGCTTGTTGGGAAAACTCACATGCAAGGGAAGGTGAAAGGCTGGGAGCCCGTCACTCTCCTCTTCTTCCACTTTCTGTCTGCTTGTCACCATGGCTACCTCTCCATCTGCTTCCCCATACGGAGAGGCTGGTCGCTTGGAAGACATCCTGGAAGGAACAAAAGAGGAGAAAATAATGAAACCTCCACATAAATCCTTAATGCCGTCATTGTGTGGTTAGGGGCCATTGTAACAGAAATGCCTTTTTGTGCTAGCAGAGAGCAGGAAACCATCCAAATACCACTGCAAAGCACACACAATCAGAAACAATGGCCAAGCAGGTAGCAACAGAACAGTGCTTGTTTGTTATGAGAATAATACACTAATATAGCACTCTCTTGTATTCTGGCTTCTTAAACAAGAGAATTCACCTAAGAACACTGCATAATGAAAGACCGTTCCATTTTAGAGGAAAGAAAAATACCCATCTAGTTTTACACTCTGATAGACCTTATTGAAGACAGAACATCTATGAATAGCAAATACTGTTGGCAGTTTAAAAGAAGAGAAATAACTAAAATTTCTTTCATCAAAAAAAAGACTCAATATATAAATGATTGCCATTAAAACAAATTTGCATTTTGTTGAAAGATTACTGTAAAATGTAGAAATATTGGTTATATGCAAACCTCAGAGCAACTGACAAAAAGTTTAGTATTTGTTTAAAGATTATTAAGGATTGAATCAATTTTATAATCACTGTTAAAACATTTGAGAATTTTCTTTCCCTCACCTCCCCAAACTACCCAATTTTGGCATTTAGTTATAATAACAAAGTTGTGAGGTAGCAAAAAAGGTGAGAATATTAAAATAATTCAAGTCCATTTTCACAACTCCATGAATGATTTAGATATGAATAATTCTGACTTGTTTATCCTTAGAATACTTAAATAAAAGAAAAAAAATCCAAAGATGGATATATTTTTTTGATGAGCTAAAGCCTACATGAAAATCAGCTTACATAACTGAACAAGAATTAAACATTTTCTTTCTACCTGAGACTGATTAAGAATATTATTAGAGGTTAAATATATGTGGCAAATATTTTAAATAGAAAATTCCTTTTCCTTTCATTAAAATATTTACATAGAAATAAAATCAAGTTAAAGTATTTAATTTAAAAAGCTTTCTGGTACTATTTACAACTTAATCTGACCCTGAAAAAGCTGGGGTTTTTGTTGTTGTTGTTGTTCAACAAACAAAGATTGTTTACAAAATCATTCATTCTTATTCTAGACCAGTGAGATGGGAGGCAGGGAAGTATTTACTAACTACCACAACACTTTCTTCATATAGATCACTGATTTTTAAATTTAAAAAGCGTTCCCCCAAATGCCACTAATCATTGTTGAATAATATTATTTTTAGAGTTAGAAGTTTCAAAAGAAAAAATGCATTCAAGCACTGAAGATATTTTATTAAAAATAATAGGACAAGAGAAAAAAATAAGGACTTTAGAATCAGACAAGATTTAAAATACTGATTCTGTCACCTATTAGCTTTGAGACTTAATTTCTCTATCTCAACTTACTCATCTTTTAGGTGAAAAATACCTACCTGATAAGACTTTTTGAAAATGGACTATGCACCCTGTGAAAAATAACTACTGTATTATTTAACACAGAACACACACTCGATAAATAACCCGTTTATTTAACAAACTTAAACTACAGTGTGACATAACCCCTGTTTATTTAACAAACTTAAACTACAGTGTGACTCACCCACCCTCAAAAAATAAAAGCACTCAAACATGAGGAAAATAGATTGCTTACTAAAGGGTTTAACTATAAAATCTACATGAAATACAGTTTCCCATTAGACAAATGCTCCCTGCCTAGCAATACTTAGAAGCAAGCTGACCAAATGTAACAGCAAATATTCAAAATAAAATCTTAATAGTACAGGTGTTGATCAGCCAAAGAGACAGAAAAAGAGGAGGAAATAGGGGAAGCTACCATGTCAGCACTGTCTAAAGGAGAAGTAGATTTGGATACCAAAGTTCAAGTAATTTTAACTATTTCCAATCCCATGACCACAGCCTATTCCAAGTATTTTCTAAGTATGGAGAAGTATATGTGGGGCTAGAATTAACAGAGTTAGAATAGTTCTAGTTTCATTGGCAATATCATATCGTACACCAAACTGATATATTACTAAACATAACAACCCATGAACACTAGAGATATTTAATTCCCACTGTTCTGATTCCATGTTCTACAGGCAAACTTCTGATTCTCATACAAAGAGTTTGCGGACAGAACAGACTTAAAATATTTAAGGTCTTTGTGAAGTGATTTATTAAACTAATAAAACTTTTAATTATTTCTTAGTTTCGCACGTAGCTTGACTATAAGGAGCTTATGCCTTTGTTATACAAACCTTAGCATTTGTGGTCTATGTGGGCATTATCATTCTTACTGGAATTAATACATTGGTATTCTGGTGGCTGTCTCAGCCTCACGTGCAGTCTCTCAATGTCTAAAACCTCTAGTCTCTTGACAAGAGCCAACTTCTGGGTCATCAAAACAGAAAGCAAGATCAGCTAGCCATTCGTAAGTTCATACAATTCTATGATCTTCAGAACCATGACTTTTCTGTTGATTTCTACCTTATTAATATCATTAACATCAATTACGAAAACTGAAAGTTCAAAAGTAGACAGATAGTTAAGGTAGACAGATAGACATTGACAGATTTTTTCAAAACTTCTAGTTATTTCAGAAGCTAAATTAACTTTCCATTTAACTGGGTAAGTATTCTCTATATAAAGCATTCTAGGGAGCAAGAAGGTTAACTTTTATAACACTGAACATGAAAGAGTTATGGTGCCAGAAGGCAACTGATCCTGGAATGTCACATATCTTATGCTTATTTCAATTCCATTTTCAGAGTTTTATAGAATGTTCTTAATGCACTGAACTTGAAAGTATTTTTAATTAAACTCAGGTAAAAGATTTCTTAAAGATTTGTTAAATTATTATAATAAAAACAGTCATGGTTATATTTAAATTATATGATACTAAGTCAGAAAAGTAAACTATATAACAAATTACACATAGAGATGTCAATCTGTTGGTTGTATTATTCATGTTTACTATGACCTGCAGTACTTCTAAAAAACATTGACAACAAAATCACCAATAACATTAGGTTCTAAATTTTTGTCCATCTACCAAATCTTTCATCTTGGAGAGAAAAAAAGCCTCATTAAGAAGGCACCACAAATGTCCATATCTTGTTCGTCTGGGATATATAGCTTACGCTACATGACTTACACTAACTATGTATCTGTATTGCAGTAACATCTGAGTATCTAGGCTGGTGTACGCTCTTACGTATCCTTCAGACATGATTTTTGTCACTTCTGTGATGCTAGGCTTACCAATGAACACAACTCAGACTTCAAAGAAACTGACATAAGACAGACAAATGTAATCTAATGTGAAACTGCCTTGGAGAGCTATGATGACATAACACTGGTCTTAACTCACTTTGTGGTAAAAAAAAAAAAAAAAAAAAAAAAAACCTTCTTGATATAACTGACATCTAATTTTAAGACACAAGCAAAATCTTCCAAGTCATCAGCAACTAGTTGCTGATCACCAACCATGTGCAAGACACTTATATAATGGGAACAAAAAACCTATTTCTCAGCCTCTGGTTAAAGAAGCATATGAGCTGGTTGAGAATATTTTAAATAAAAGGATAAACACGAATGAAAGACAGTTCAGTCTAAATGCCAGATGACATTATAGCTAAGTATTTGAGTGCTTCTTGAGGACCAGAGCATCCTTAAATGCTGCACAGAATGGTTGAACCAGTTGGCTTTCAAGGGAAAAGAATAAATAAATGCTGTATAATAAACAGAGAGGGAAGTTCACATAGAAAGTAATGATAAAAGCAAAGATGCAGAGATGCTTTTAGGAAGTATTATATAAATTTAGGGTTCAAGCTTACTTGAAAAAAGACGAGACTGAGGAATATGGATCAAATCCCATGTGTAGATTGTAACACTCCTGAAATCGCTGAGTTACACGAACAAAACAAGAAACAGCCTCCCTTGTAAAAAACAACTTGATTTTGAAAGGTGTCTCCTTCCCTTCATTTCCCCTTGTAGCATTCAATCAAGCTACTCTTGATAAATGTGACAGTAAATATAAAATTACGGGGGTCTTTTGCTCTTGGCTGATGGCTCTCCACGTGCCTTATAATTGCTCTGCAAGTAGGATATCCTAAATGTGTTCAGACATGGACAGGAAACTTAGAGGTAGGGTAGAAGGTGTAAGACTGAAACAGAAAGATAAAGCAGTGGTTCTAAACCTTTGGCTAGACACTGGAATTACCTGGAGAGGTTTTAAAAATACCGATCCCTGGGTTTTACCCTTAGAATGCCAGGCATGGTGGCTCACGCCTGTAATCCCAGAACTTTGGGAGGCTGAGATGGGCAGATCACGATGGGCAGGTCAGGGGTTTGAGTCCAGCCCGACCAACGTGGTGAAACCCCGTCTCTACTAAAAATACAAAAATTAGCCGAGCATGATGCCACATGCCTGTAATCCCAGCTACTCGGGAGGCTGAGGCGGGAGAATTGCTTAAACCCAAGAGGTGGAGGTTACAGTGAGCAGAGAGTATGCCACTGCACTCCAGCCTGAGTGACAGAGCAAGACTCCATCTCAAACAAACAAGCAAACAAAGAAATTCCCTTAGAAATTCTGATGTTATTGGTTCCGAAGGGTGACCAGGTATCAGAAATGTTTAAAGCTCCCCACTGATTTTAATATGCAGTCAATGTTGCAAACAATGGGTATAGTAAAAATAATGCACCCCCAAACCAAGATGTCCAGGTCTTAATACCTTACATGTCAAAAGGGACTTTGCCTCTGTAATTAAGTATTTTGAAATGAGGAAATTATTTTAAATATCGTTGGTGGGTGCAAAGTAATCATATACACCCTTATAAGAGGGAGAAGAAAAGTCAGAGTCAGAGGAAGAGACTAGATGATACTATGCTACTGGCTTTGAAGATGGAAGATGAGGCCATGAGCCAAGGAATGCTGACAGCCTCTTGAAGCTAGAAAATGCAATGGAAAAGATCCTTTCCTAGAG